AGAGGGGATTTGGACAGTGCAAAAGATTGTAACTGAACATAATCATTATCTTGCCAGTCTAGATAAGTTGCATAAGCTGAGATCCCAACGGCATGTCACTGAAGCAGACAGGATGCTAATTGGCCAGATACGAGAAGCCAGGATGAAGCCAGCCCAGGTGTATGAGTTCATGAAGCAGTTTTATGGAGGAGCCGACAAAGTGCCATTCACAAAAATGGATTGCAATAATGAGATTGGACGCGAGCGCAGAAAGTACTTAGAAGCCAATGATGTACAGACACTGGCCGAATACCTGAGAAACAAGCAGTTACAGGATCCTACATTTTTTTGTGCCGTTTAGGTAGATAAGACAGATGGTCGGATAGCAAATTTTTTCTGGGCAGTGGTCTGTCTATTATGGACTACAAATGCTTTGGTGATGCTGTGTTTTTTGACACTACGTTTCAGACTAATAAGTTTGAGATGCCTTTTGCTCCAATCCTTGGAACAAACCATCACAAGCAGACGATAATCTTTGGGGCTGCATTGATATTTAATGAAACTATTGAATCATTTGTTTGGCTATTTGAAACCTTCCTAAAAGCAATGTCAGGCAAGCATCCAAGGACAATTTTCACTGATCAAGACGCGGCCATGGCTAGAGCAATTGCTTATGTATTCCCAAATACAAGCCATCGCCTTTGTTTGTGGCACATTTACTTAAATGCTACTAAACATCTCGGGCATGTAATTCACAAGTCAGATAACAAGTTTCTTACTGATTTTAAGAGATGTGTGTATGAAGATAGATTGAGGGCTTACTTCATCGAGAAGTGGAATGAGTTGTTATCTGAATATAAACTAGAGGATAACTCTTGGATGAGAAACCTATATGATTTGAGGGCAAAGTGGGCAGCTGTGTACCGTGATGCTTTTACAGCGGATATGACCTCGACTCAAAGGAGTGAAGGCATGAACAATGTTTTTAAGAAAAGATTTCGTAGGAAACTCGGTCTTTCGGAACTCCTTGTAGAATGTGAGAAGGTTTTACTTAGTCTTCGTGAAAACGAGTTGGATGAAGACTTTAATTCACGCCGAAAGGACGTGGTTACTTACACCACAGATTTACCTATGCTGAAGACCGCAGCAGAATCATACACAAGAAGGATTTATTCTGAGTTTGAGGAGGAATTTAAAAAACAATTATCATTGTCTCAAAAATTGCTACAAACTGAAGGGACCAACTTGACATTCTTTGTCACATACATGCAATCCGATCGTGGAGCAACAGTAGTGTTCAACAGTGAAGATTCTACCATTACATGTTCTTGCAGAAAGTTTGAAGCCATAGGTACGTATATGCATTTCAATTTGTAATATAATTTTTTATACAATTTACTGAAAATGGTATCCATGTCGTATAGGTATATTGTGCAAGCATGCCCTTAGAGTCTTCAATATAAATGGAGTGTATAGTTTGCCATCGCAATATATTCTAAACAGATGGACAAAATATGCCAAAAGAGGATTTTATATCGACAAACAAGGAAGTGAGGAGGAAGATTTGAAAGCACGTGCTGCACTTATCTCTCGAAAAGCTACAACTATTGCATTGAAGTGTTCAGTGTCAAGAGAGCTTCTTGATGATTTCCAGAAAGCCATAGAGAAGTTGGACCAGCAAGCAGATACTTCTCTTAGCAAGATGCAAGAAGAATCAAATGAGGTTCCTCTAATTCCGAATGAATGTGACACAGGCTCATTGAATGGTGTAATATCTTTTAGAGTTCCTCAGGTGGTAAAAGGCCCAAAGAATACACGGTTCAAAAATGTGGTTGAAAAGAAGACAGTGAAGTCAAAGAAGAAAAGTGCTAAGAAGAAAGGTAGTGATCCTACCAATTCAAGATGTTTTTTCTTCCCTGATGGTTGCTTCTATAATAATTTTTTTATGTTCATGTTTTGTCATCTGCAGGAAAGGATCCAAATACTGCTGCAGAAAATAGAGATGGAGGTGCTGATCCAAAGCAATTAGCTGTAAGACATGATTGAGACTAATTATACCCTTTTCACAATTTATTTACTTATACGCACATTTAATATGACACATGATCTTAATTCTTCTATCGTGTTTGCTCCGTTGATCCATGGTGGATATGGTAATGCGACAATGCCACACTTTAATATGATTGGGAATTCTTCTACCATGTCTGCCCCATATATACAAGGAGGATATACGAGTTTGTTACTTGGAGTTGATCAAGGCGCCACATTGCAGTCAGCAGTTAGGAAATTACATTCATGAAAACATGTAACTGTGCTAAGCTGTTAAAGTTTACACTTTGCATGCGGGATTTTATTATTTGCCCTAGATTTTATTATGGTGTAATAATGAATTTAATCTTTTAACTATGAGGGCGCCATATGATTTTTGTTTGCAGTTGAACCCTCTTTTATCTTTTAAATTTCAGTCTCCATTATTGGTCACGCTTGACTGTAGCTACCATATTGTACTAAACGCTACGTGATCTTTGGGCCAATCACACCACGTAGGCAAGGCACGGCAGCATGCTGCATGCATGTCCTCGGCCCGTGGAGGCCTATTCCAACTCCCTGCCTCGCGATGCATGCAGCCGCGATGCCGAGCCATGCATGCAGATGCGCGAGGAGCCAGGCAAGCGAGCCGTTCGGAGCCGCTAGGAGCTTCTCAGACGCGCGACCGTCAGATTTCCCTGCGCCTCCACGCGTCGACCGGGCGGAAGGGTGGGCACCGGATGCGCTTTGCATCCGGGCAGCACCGAATTTTGTTCCGCCCTGTGGGGGCTTTGGAAACTAAGAAATGACACGTGTTTTCAGGGTGTTGTATGGAGGAGTGTGCTTTCAATACTTATTGCAATTCTGAATATGCTCACAAGCTGGACCCTGCTATGTCCAATGGAGAAGAGAACGGAGTTCAGTGTCAAATTGGAGAAGCTGAGAAGAGTGGCAACCAGTCTGCCAAGGTTGCTTGGCTGAACAAGGTGGAAAACGAGTGGGAGAAACTAATGCACAAGTCGGCCTTGGACCGGAAGCAGAAGACTTATCCTAAGGAAGTTCAGAAGAGGTTGGTGGTTGCTTCAGATACCTGTCTGGAGCCCAAAGGAAAATGGATCAGCTTCTTAGGCTTTGAGAAAGAGTATAACATGTAATCCTGACAGTTGTAGTTATTCTGTGTTTTGCTGTTGAGAGGGAGCTAGGAGTGCTGTTTGAGCGTCATGTTGGTTTATTTTCTGGATGATGAAACACCGGTGTTTAAACTGTTACTCTGGTTCTTGTGATAATGCAATGACCGGGGCATTTGCCCTGAAATTCTAAAAAAATTCTGACTGTGCCGGGCGCCAGGAGGAAAGGGAACGGAGAAGAAACTTCCTGATGCATCTTTGCTGTCTTCTCGTTAGCGTCGCTCACCCGGGAGCCAAAAAAAAAATGAAGCTGCTGATGCGATGCGCTTCCACCCGGCGGCGCAGCCGGCAATGCTGGACCTGGACCGCATGGAAAATGGATATGCCGCGGCATAAACCCGGACGCGGCGAATATTCTTTTCCCGTTGCGAAGATGCCGTGTTCCGCTCCGGCTGCCTGTCGCCCTGTCCCAACCTAATTAACCTGCCGATCTTCTTCCTCGTTCTCAATTCCCCGCACTCTTTCATCGTGGTGTATGTATCTCGCACGCACAACACGCGATGACACAAAGAGAGGGAGGGGACTTGTGTATAAATAAATAGCTAGCGTTCTCGCTCGTCGCCTCCGCAAATTAGCAAATCCGCGCGCGCATTACATACAAATATACAGCTGGACATATATAATTTGGCCGACTCTGCATCGATCGCCGGCGCGGCTGCCGGGGGAGCCGCGGATCGTCGTCGGAGCCACGCACAGCACAGCAGAGACATGGCTAAGCTCAAGGCCGCGCGCGCCACCGACGTCGGCCCGCCCGCCATGCCGGAGCCGGACATCGCCGCGGACCTCGACGGCCTAGCGGCCTCCGTCGCGTCGTCGTGCTCGTGCATCAGAGGTACGACGTGCGGGGCGGAGGCGACGACGACGACGGCCGAGGGACGCCGGCCGCCGCTGGTGGTGATAGGGCACCGCGGCAAGGGGATGAACGCGCTGGCGTCGCCGGACCCGCGGCTGCGCGGGGACGTCAGGGAGAACACACTCCGCGCCTTCAACGACGCCGCCGCCATCCACCCCGCCGTCGCCTACGTCGAGTTCGACGTCCAGGTAATAAATCATCATGGACATCAAACATAGAAAATTGACAATGCCGGCAATGCATTCACTCGATCACCGGCGTGCGCCACCTCTGTGTGTGTGGCGTCGGCGTTCGTGAGCGACGGCACGGCACGTCACTGTCGTCTTCTGGGCCCTTAGGCCCGATTAGGAAAAAGGTTTCTACTGCCTGCTAGTTCCTGGACCGCTTGCTTGAACCTAGCAAGGGAAGACCGCTTGCTTGACGCGTGGTGCGGTCCAAGCAGCGTCCTTCGTCCAGAAACATCACGGGGATGGTGGAATTCCTCTCCGCCTCCGTTCCCTTCTAGAGCACCCGACCTTATTATTAAAAAAAAAATCCCTCGCTCAGAAAGCCTGCCTTGTGGGTCCGTCCGCATGAACCTAGAGTCACGTTATAATGGGATTTTGACTTTCAAATTGCCTTGCCTACCTATACATAAAGCAAAAAAACTCTGTTTGCGGGTAAGAAAAAACTTGTATGAATGTGGAGAAAGTAAAGGTTCTCTTAATTAAACCCTCTTATTTCTGCCTCTGCAACTGCAACTGAGAACGAGCAAGCAAGCGCTCTAACCATGGCCATGAATCTTGCAGGTGACAAAGGACGGCTGCCCTGTCATCTTCCATGACAACTTCATCTGCACCCAACAAGTAAGTTTATCAATTGCTCTGTTCAACTGTCCAACCACAAATTAAGCATCTCGCATATATAAACATCGTCTCACAGTCGTCATGCTCAAATATTGTAATGTCATTCAGGGCGAAATCTCAGGGAAGCGTGTCACCGACCTTGATCTGGACGAGTTCCTCTCCTACGGGCCCCAAAGAGAGCAGCGGAAGGTACGCTCGCTAAACAATCTCAGGCCTTTCTTTCTTCAAAATGTAACGGGGTTGCCCCTTTCATCAACATTCTCAGGTCGGCAAGCCACTGCTCCGGAAACTCAAGGACGGGAGGATCCTCAAGTGGGACGTGCGGTCCGAGGACGCGCTGTGCACGCTGCGTGAGGTCTTCCAGGGCGTCCACCGCCGTGTCGGCTTCAACGTCGAGCTCAAGTTCGACGACGACCTCGTCTACACGGAGGAGAGGCTGACCTGCATCCTACAAGCCGTCCTCAAGGCACGTGGCAACGCTAAAGAGGCCCAAGCAGCTTTCCTTGATTCCTTCTGTTACATCTCTGAAGAGAATGCCTACTGATTGCTCTATTACTTGGTGTTCAGGTTGTCTTCGAGCACGCCGACGACAGGCCCATCATCTTCTCCAGCTTCCAGCCCGACGCCGCGCAGCTCATCCGCAAGCTGCAAGACAAATACCCCGTAAGTGTCACTGCCACAACCCTGAAGTTTTCTGACCGTGAACAGTCAACACTCAATTAATTGACTGATGGGACCTACCCTGCTACGAACAGGTGTTCTTTCTGACGAACGGAGGGACGCAGGGGTACGCCGACCCGCGTCGGAACTCGCTGGAGGAGGCCGTCAAGCTGTGCGTCGCCGGCGGGCTGCAGGGGATCGTGTCGGAGGTCCGCGCGATACTCAGGCAGCCGTCGGCGGTGGCCAAGATCAAGGAGGCCAACAAGCTGTCACTGATGACCTACGGCCTGCTCAAGTGAGTGATCGATCACTGTTCTCTTCACTGTTTGCCCACAGCCTGCTGCAGCCCGTGATGGGGAACTGAACGCGTGCTCGCTGTTTGTGCTTTGTGTGTGCCGGTCTCGCAGCAACGTGCCGGAGGTGGTGTACGTGCAGCACCTGATGGGGGTGGACGGCGTCATCGTCGACCTGGTGCGGGAGATCGCCGAGGCCGTGTCGACGTTCACGGTCACGGCGGCAGTGCACGAGTCCGGCTCCCAGGACGGCGGCGGCATCGTGGTGGGCGAGAGGATGGAGATGGCTGCCGGGGCGGTGGCAGGGACGCCGAGCTTCTCGCCGCGGGAGATGTCCTTCCTCCTGAGGCTCATTCCGGAGCTAGTGCAGTAGCGTGTTGTTCTTGCTGGCGGAATTTCTGCCATGATTGACCCGGCCCATTGTAGATTATCAACCAAAGTCGTTGACTCTGATTTTGTCTGTCAACTGAAATCGAAAAGGTTGTGGGTTGCATTTGTAATATCCCCTGTACATGAATTAGAAACACTGTAGCTTGCATGAGTGAAATCTGCAGTCCTCTCTGTTCTCTCCGTACGGGGACTACAAACTATAACTCGTTTGGTTGTAAACGATCGTAAATTTTCAGCCAGATCAGTATTTTTCTCTCACACCAAACCAGCCAGCGGTAATAATCCACGATCGTATACGATCGTTTCAGCCCAATCGAACAGGCTGTATAGCCTTGCCTGTTGTCGAAAAAAAAACTATATCCTTACCCAGAGGTCAATATACATTTCCTCTCGTATCCCTCATCCAATGGTCATTTTTTTTTTAAAAAAAATAACTAAGCATCACACTCTGGCACTAACCAAGCAAATTGTCGACACAGAATTTCGTCCCGTACCGAGGACACACGCAGCAAGCCGGAAGGGTCCGCTCGATGCAGCAGATCCGCCTAGCTTCAGCGCAAGGGTGGTCGATCCTGCGCAATCCTCCCGAAACATGTCAGTCAATTTAACCCTGCAATTGACAAGGAAAGAAAGCTTATCAGTAATTAAGGGCGGAATATGCCGGTGTTGCTAGACAGTCCCGAATGTGCGGCTTTGAGAGCCGATATGAGAGGAAATCGACTAAATAGTCGATTCCAGCATATTCATAAGAATAAATCGATTAAAGCTCATGGGGGGTTGTGTAAGAAAAATCGGTTATTATTCAGGATAAACATAATTCGAGCAAAAATTAATCAAAGACAATAAGATATCAACGATGATCGGTTTAAACTGAGCTAATGATTACAAATAACCGAACTCCTTTTTATATATAGAAACAATTCAACACCACTTAACCTTTTAATAAAGATAAATCTAATGAACATGTTAGATCTTATCTATCGCCATGACCAGTGGGGTATGAGGCAGAATCATGCAGGCCGTAGAAACAACAATAGACTCGACGACCCTAACTCATTACTAATATCATTGGGGCATGAGGCAGAATCATGCAGACCGTAATACAATAATAAGATCATGGGACTAACATATCTTTCAACTTATATCTACTTCAATGGTCTCGTAACGTGGACTGTTCATGAAAACGCTCGATATCGGCTAAACAACCGATTCAGGCATAACACACAGTTAAGGTCATGCCTTCTCAGGAACGAATCTATCAACCAACGATCCCCACTCCACGGTGCTAACAGTGGGGTGAGAGGTAGAATCCCACAGGCCGTGATAACGGGCCATGGAATGGTTCTCGCTAACCGATAGATCTACTCAAGATCGAACATGCCTTAACCGCACGCTATGCACGATTAAGATTGATATAAAATAGCCGATAAAAACATAACTCATCATTTAAGATGTAGATTAGATCAGTTTTAGATTAGCAAACGATGGGTTAAACAAGATATAAGGCCGATCCAGATCCATCTCAATCGGGCAGAGTGATATTGCTGTAATTAGATAAACAATGAAAGCAATAAGCAATATCGGTAACTTAATGAATCTACCAGAGACTGCCATTCAAAGGTAGAGCCGATAACTTGACCTTGATCTACTTCTAAGCAGTAGGGTGTGAGGCAGAATCACACAGGCCATACTTGAATTAGGTAAGAGTCGATAACTAGCCTATACCAGAGCCGCAGTGGGGGTTGACCGGATCGGTGCAGCCATACGAGCAGAGGTATAAACCACGACGGTACTTACAGACAAGCAGTGGAGGTCGACCGGATCGATGCAGCCGTACTCACTGAAGAACTCGCCGAGATCTACTCTACTCCTACTCCTAAGGGGTGGCCGGAGCCAAAAAAGTAAATTGACTTGTATTTGATTGATTGTTATTCTTTACAATAGCTGGGGTTTGATATTTATCCCCGGAGTCTAGACACGAATCCTACTCGAGCACGATTTGTTACAATCTTTGGCATAAAAATAAAAACATTCCTAATTTAAGATAACTTGGACTCTAATCTTTTCCTTTTTGTAGAGTCCAGCATGTCTCGTCCCAGCGCCGATCATAACTTTTGTCGTTATCTGCTGGCGCTATTATGAAGAAAGCCGATTCTAGTATTGTATCCGAATCAGCTGGTTCCGATCTACACGCAATTGATCCCTCGCTGACATGGTTTTAGGAGCTTTCGAGCCTCTGAAAGTCTTCTTCCAAATTCTGGTGTAAACACAAATAAGATACAAATAATGTAGCTGCCAAGATGGAATGAGTGGAAGCAACAAGCTTAGGTCCAGTTTTGTCTTGTCAACTACAGCAATACTATAGCAGGAGCCGGAGTCTCCTTGTACTAATCCGTAGAAGCAGAAGCCATTTAGTGCTACAGTACTTATGTTCAACTATGCTCAATAGTGCATCCAGAGCCAGAGCCAACAAAAGCTTGGCTAAACCGTGCTCACTGCTCAGCATTAAGTGGCGACTTCAAAATTTACGTGCCACATGATCCTTGTTTTAGATAATGGAATAATATCGGGCTTCATCCCCACAAGTGAGGAATCATACCAAAATTATTATAGGACACAAATACTTAAAACAATAACAGTCTCAGAAGCCAAATAAAATTACTTTGTAATCCAAAATACATAAGGCCACCCATGGAGACGAAGAAGACCATTGCCACCAACTCTAACATATGACAAGAAAAGGTGATGCATTCTTTCTTGCCATCACAATACTGAAGTTGACTCCAAAGTCGACGCTAATAAATTCCACTTAGTAAGACTGTTGTGCTATCGACGTTTAACGCGGAAGCGATTGCTTCGATCTACCTAGGCAAGATGCTCATGAGAGATTGCACACACCACACAGGAGACAGGATATTTGGTAATGAGGTTCGGCCGAAGCCTACGTCCCCGGGGCATGCTTACGGGCGCTCCTCCCCGAAACCGTGACACCGGCCGCCCGGGGCACCGGCCAAAATCGCCAGCACCCCTCGCGAGCCTGTCACCTTTGTGTTGCTACTCTCAAGTGGTGGGTTACAAGTGCAGCCCCCTCCTCCTTTTATAGAGGGGCCAAGTTACAAGAGTCAACACCAAACTCATCTAACCCTATACTGCTAATTACAACACAAGTCCACTATAACTACCATTAATACAAATAAATATTTGACACATTTCTAACAATCTCCACCTTGGTGAATATTTCGCCACCTTGATAGTTTTGTCATTTGCGAACAACCATGTACTCTGGACTCGAGTTGTCGACTTCGCTGCTTCACGAAGAGCAGCCCGACGAGTTTGACTTGGTCTCAAACCCGCCGCCTCAGGAAACCCCGCTATCCTTGCAACTTCATCCCAGTGACTCCACATATACCCGTGCGTCCTTGCAACTTGTACAACTGCAAATGCCCATCTCCTCTAAACCGACTAGACAAGATTATTGTTATTGTCAGAGTCACCCACTGATATTGCAACATTGGCCCCGTTCGCTTCGCTAAAAAAACAAGCCGAAATACTGTTCCGGCTGATTTGTTGTGAGATAAAAACACTCTTCTAGTTGAAAAAACAAGCTGAAAAGTACGAATTATAAGATAAGCGAACAGGGCCATTAGCACTTGCCTCCTTTTCTGGACACTCCTTGACATGTCCCCACTCTCCGCACTTGAAACACCGCACCTTCTTTCTCTTGCTCTTGGCCTCCACCTTCCTCCTGCTAGATTCCCCACTGACCAGCAAACCTTCAACTTGAGGTGCTTCCACTTCATTGTTCTTCCTCCTCTATTCTCGAGCAATCAACGCTACAATATATATCCTCAATCTTGATTGTTTCCTTGCCATATGTCAGTGTAGTAACCACATGCTCATAGGATGGTGGTAAAAAGCACAAAAGAATTATTGCCTTGTCTTCATCATCAACGGTTACCTCTCTATGTGCCAGATCAACAACCAACTGATTGAAGACATTAAAGTGCCCCACGAGATCCGATCCCTCCTGCATCTTCAGCCCATACAACTTCTGCTTCAGATACAACTTGGTGGTCAGTGTCCTGGACATGTACTAAGTGGCCAGCTTGTCCAGATTTCCTTTGGTTTGGTTAAATCCATGACATGGAACATGACCTGATCTAAGACACAGAGCCGTATGGTTGCGGCTGTTTGCAACTGCATCTCCTCTCAGTCTTCATCCTCCATCTTGCCCGGCTTCTTCTCCTGCAAACCCTTCAGGACCCTTTGCTGAGCCAGCAAATCCTTGACCCTTGTTTGCCACAGAGCAAAGTTGCCGCTGCCATCGAACTTTTCCACCTCAAATCTGGTACCTATCGGCGCCATCTTGCCGACCAACGGTTTGATCGATCTCTTGACGATCTCACCACCCGATTCGTCCGCCTTGACAATAGGCTCAGATGAACCGTCCTTCTCCGAGATCCCCTCCACGGCGTCTGCTCCAACGACATCTCCTCGTCAGTCGCCACATTGCTCGCTAATGATCACCTCCGAGCACTCCTGGCCACCTCCAAGCTGAGCCTACTAGCTCTCACCTACACCGCCTCCCGAGCAAACCACCTACTGCAGCTCTCACTGTCAAATATCTTTGGCTAGTCTAGCTCTCTGGTTTTTGCTCTGTCTTGCGATGCACTGAACCAGCTCTCTCTGCTAGTGGATTTATTTCACCGCGTGCCCACGAGTTATGTTCTGGCGTCCAAAGCAAGGTTTCTGTCACAGAACCGACCAATTTATAAGAGCACAAGTATAAAAACAATCGCCGAAACGATCAAATTCTCGAACTTGAGCCCATATAAACCCTGTAGTCAACTGAAATCTCGAAGGATTTCAAACCAACTTGCATACAACCAAGATCACAATAATTCAACATAACATATCGTACGTTACAACATTTCGTAGCCATTCGCAAATAGATTACATCAACACAGAGTCATCGTTATTACA